TTTCCACTTAAATATGACACCAGCTTCAGTTCCAGGCAGGTCTCCGATTCAGCTGTATTGTGGCAATATGATCTGACTGAGGATGGGAAGCTGGTCAAAAGCTGTTCACTAGGAGAGCAGCAAGGCAACCTTATTTTTGCCCCTTTCCCACCTCGGAAATATATTTGTATGTAGCAGGTGCAGTACGCCCCCAAAGTTCCCCCATTCATGCAGTTTTGGACAGATGGGGAATCCTGAAGTCCTTAGAGAAGTTGCTTTCGACTTATCCCTTGATCTCACAAGCCAACCCTACCTTTCTTGCAGTGCCCCAGCTAGTCTTGGAGAACCAGTACCTCCCGCTTCTGGAATATTAATGCCTTTCTAACTTCTGCCATGCAATTTTTTTCCCCAGCTTGACTGGAGCACATTTTGTGTTGTGTCAAAAGTCACTGCCTGCCCCCAGAACTATGTTTTTCTCGCAAGACAAAGCTGCCGTTAATGTTTGCACCCCAGAGTTGTGATACCACCGGAAGATGATCTGTTACTGAGTCACGCATCTTTCCTTATCTTTCTTCAGGTGAAGCAGGTTTTCCCTTCCAAAATGTCTTTCCGAGCTCTGGTTTTGTGCTTGGCTTGCGCTGAGCTTGGAAAGGCAAATGGTAAGTTGAATTTCCTGAAATCTGCCTGAAAATGGTTGGGGAGCTGGTTTCTGATTCCTGAGGCTTCAGCAGTCAGAGTAAGAGGCAAAAATAGGTTAAATACAGATTGGTGATGACATTTGACATAGGTTAGATAGCTGAGGCATAAACACAGAGCTGGCAGATGTGACACAAGACTTCCTGGAGCAGCATTTGGACATGAGAGGGACATGCAGCATCCCATATCTACAGTGACACTGGACACCGTTATTCACCCAAGTTCACAACTTCCCATAGTGTGGATCTTCCTTAGTCCAGAAATTCTCTTTGGCTCATTTTGCTGTTAAGTTCTCTGAGAATGTCTTGGTATGCACTTCCCTTGTGCAATCAATCTTCCTCTAGCTTTTAGGAAACAAAAACTGAGTCTTTGCTGAGAATGGGAAGCCGTGAGCTGATTTAATGAAACTGAAGTGGGAAGTCTGCAGGGATGGGTACAGAAATAGGGTACATCTTCTTCTTTTTAACAGTTTAGAAGAAAGCCAGAGCCTGAGCCAATGTAAATCAACGTAGCTTCATTGATTTCTAGAAGGACGTTTGGGTGGGGGGAAAACCATCAGAACAACATGTAATTGATGGAATTGTGTCTGTGGGTAATCCAGGACTTAGAATCAGTGTTAGGCTTCTGAATGTGTGTGCTATCTGCCCATTTCACTATTTCATGTCATTGCAGTGGTGCCCCAGGCTGAACACAGACACGTGAAGGTGGGTGACAGCGTGACTCTCGGCTGTGTCCTGACAGAATCCAAGGATGTTCTGCAGGTGACGTGGCAAAAGGACTCTGAAAAATCACATGATAACATAGCTACGTACAGCATTGCAAAAGGATTAAAGATTCACGAGCCCTATCAAAACCGAATGAATTTCACAAGTCTTGTACTCAATGAGACGAACATCACTTTTTGGAACACTAGAATAGATGATTCAGGGTGTTACACCTGTCTCTTCAATGCCTTCCCTGTCGGCTCCTTCTCGGGACGTACCTGCCTGAGTGTCTTAGGTGAGGTTCTCTGTGGGGATAAGTCTGAGCTGTCCTTGTTTGTTATTCTGTGAGTAGCAGCTAAAAAGCAGGGAGTGGGATCTTTGTTTGTAAGCCCTGGAGCAGTTCCAGCTGGAACTTGGGCAAACCAACGTTGCCTGTTGCAGCTGGTGCCAGATACAACTCCAGTGCTGTGAGCTGCTGTGCTGAACCCTACGATTGATAGGGAATTAGTAGGTAGGAGAACAGAACGGACTGAGAAATGGTTTTACTTTAACAGATTATTTTCAAACCTGGAATTTCGGGTTGAGTGAAACTTTTTGGGGTACCTAACTTCAGTGTAAGGGAAGGAGTATTGAATCATAGTGGGGGGATCTGACCCAATGAACTCTTCTTGCGTTCCTGTGCCATAGGGCTCAGTGCAAATCCAGTAAGCTTTGCTCTGATTGATAATGGTTAAATGGCTGCTTATGACCAGGTGCTCATTGTGGTGATAGATTGTCTCATTTGTGTGTTGGAAGGTCTCAATGCATCTGTCCATTACAACACTTCCGAAGGTCATTCGATAGCCATCTGTAATGCTGTTGGCCTCCCAGAGCCCACCGTCACCTGGAACAACTTGTTCAATACTACTCCTACACAGGACATAGTCAGGCACACCAATGGGGTAGTGTCCGTCACCAGTAAACTGGAGATCTACAATGCTCGGAGCATCGGTGACTTGACCTGCATAGTAAGAAACGTGAATGGAAAAATGGAATTGCCCGTGAAAATAAAAGGAGGTAGGTGAACAATACAAGCTACTTGGCAGCGTTCTCTTGTTTTGCAGTAGCATGTTTGGATAGGAATCTGCTGGGAGGAGGAGGGAGTGAAATGTGTATGTGCCAAGTAAGAAGAAAGGAAATCCTACTTTGCGCTCATTGCCGTCTTTGAGATGATAACATACTGGGGCCCTCTTCGAGAAGGGAAAAAGACAAACTAGTCAGCTAGGGACCTATGAGTTTTAGAAGAACCATGTGTCTTGCAGCAAGTCAAATTTCAGTTTTCACACAGGCCTTCGTAGTTTCTTTGACAGTCCAAACATAGATATAAATATTTGTCACCTGATATCTATCTAGATGAAGTAAAAACTCTGTGGGTGGCTTAATGAACACTGAAGTGGAAGTTTTGAAATTGGTAACAAACTATCTCTAAACAACAATTAACCAAATGTTTCAGTTAGACTTACTACATGTTTAGGTACGGTTAACCTGTGTATTATGTTCTAGTTTCTCTGACATTTTTGCTAAGACACACGTGCGTTGCAGTAATGGTCAGGGAGGAATAGTATTTTCAGGCAGACAGGAAGGTGATCAGCTGAAGATACATTGGGTTTATGGGAAAATCTTAAATACATCAATGTAACATCTGAATACCTTGTAGTGCTAATTTATTTCTTCTTCCAACCTTCTGTTCTGTGGAAGTCTTTCACCCCAGTTCTATAGATGAGAAATAGAAACATTAAAAGCTAAAGTACCCTTCTCAGTTCACACAGGAACATTGACTTTGGTGATTTAAAATTCACATGTCTCCAAATCTGGAGCCTTAAAAGGAAGGCCACCTGGAAATTAGGAAGACAGGAAAAGCAGTTTGGGATTGTGGGTTAATTCCCAAATTGCATGCTCAAGAAGTGATTGTTATAGAAATAGTAAGCAAAGAGTGAGATCTGAAAAGAGATGTCTAAAAGTTCAAAAGCAAATTAGTTCTTAATTCTGAGTGACACTACTTGAAAAAGCGTTATCTTTTTGTCCTGTCTCAAATGCAATATTCTTTTGGTTTGGCCTTTTAAAAAGGAAAGCAGGAAACTAGTTGTTCCTTGCTAGGACAATGAAAAATCAGCTAATAGCTTGTGGTTTTAACAATCTTGTATTTTAGAGAAAGAGAAGTTCAAATGAATAGTTCAGCCTAGCTTTGTTAAAAGGCATGATAGTTTTGGCTTGATTCAAATAAATTTTAATTCAGAAAGTTTTCCAGCTAACATCAGTGGACATTGGAAATGAGCCTTTGTGCTATCATTTTGATTAATGGCAGTCACATGAAGTGGCTCGTGTCCAACCAGGGAGGGAAGTTTACATTCAGATGCTGGGTAGAGCTACTCGTAGCCATCAAAACATAGCCTGTCTTCTTTTCTGAAAGTTAATTTAGCCTTTGCAACAGTGATAAGTGTTTAACAGTAAAATGAATAACTTCTATTTTACAAACAAAAAAAATTCTGCATGAACAAAAAAACCCCTCAGAAAGTGTCGAGACGTGTATAAAGTTCTGCCTATGGATGCGTGCCGATGACCGTGTTGGGTATGGGAATGACTGTTTTCTTTACCATGGATGAACATGAGCACATCTCTTCTTCACAAAGCATTTTCTCTGGGCAAGTAGGTTTGTCTTTGAAGATACACACGTTCACTCTCTCTTTTGAGTAATTACTGCTTTCATGGAGCTTAGTAATAGCTTTCACAATCTTGATGAGGAACCTTTGTCACTAATCAGACATAATTTTGGCTCTTTTTTCTCTTTTTCCTATATAAGCTAGCTTAGTCTGTTGTATTTTTTGTTATTTTGTTTTTACAGAAGAGGGATCCTCATTGCTTTGGCTGATGATTGCTCTGGGGATTTTAATTGTCATAGCTTCAATTCTCATCATGCTGTGCTGGAGGAAGAGGATGTGCAGGAGGGGTTGAAGTGGTGAGTCACTGATGCGTGGAAACCGATGGTTTTTGTGGAGTCTGTAGTGAGGTCTGGTCACCTGCAGAGAAGAATGAGACTTTGCTGAGATACCATTGGGGGTATGAGACTGTTAAATTGGACTAGTAAGCTTAATAATAACGCGTTTACAGTTATTAGAGGTTGCCTCAGTTGCACGTAATTTTAAGAGCTGTTTTCCCACTGCTACTACCGAGGGACAACACAAGACTACAAATTGGGAGGGGAGGATCCAAGCAGAGCAGGACATGCTGCTCGTGGCTTGCTTTCAGGCAGAAGTCTCAGCAGAAGTAATTCACTGCTCTTTCACATTTTCATGGAAGGCCGCAAAAGTGGTGAGCATAAGTATGCTCAGAGAATTTTTGGCAGAAGAGATATATTGGAGAGAAACCTGCTCATGCAAAGTGACGTGCCCTCAAGGGAAGGGCTTTCTTCTGGGCATATCACCCTCTTGGCATTTTTAAGACAAACAGTGCAATATGATGGAGAAATGCACTCAAACTTGGCACGAGTCTGCTTCCTAAGGATGAATTAAGGAGAACTCGCACTCAGTGTAATGTCCTTGTATGTGTGATGACCTGATCACGGATCAATTCAACTTTCTAGTCTTAGTTACTAGTAACAGAATGAAAGGAAAAAATTAAAGGAGAGGGGAGGCCTTAAGCTTCAGAAATCACTGAAATTGGATGGTCATTGGCAGTTTCACTCTCATTTAACTAGATTAAAATGCTGTGTCTGGCTTTAAATTATACTAATATGTTTAGAAATGCCAGCATACATTAACTCAGTTCTTGAATATTTAGGTACTTGCTTCATGATGATAATGTGATATATAAGGTAAAGAAGTCTTTCCAGGAGTATCAGACCTGTCTGTTACAAACTTAGACCTACAGCATTTCCTGTTAAGAGGGGTTTATCTAGTAAATCTGCCAGAGACACAAAAGTCTTCACTGAGAAGAAAGAGAAATGAACAATTAAGAAGTTATATCTGGGGCGTAAGAAGTGTAAGATGTATGTGAGCTTTCCATTGAGCCTATAAACAATTCAAAACAGAAAATTGCCATTGAATTTTCAGACCAACCTTGGAAGTTAAAGGGCAAGGAATTGGTTCTTAATTTTTTTTTTTTTAACTATCAGAGAAAAAGGTGAAATGCTCAAAAGAAAGACGTATCTTTATTCTAGAACAACCATTCCAAACGCAAATGAGCTTCTGCTAAGCAGACCCTGAAAGAGAGACCTCGAGGGAGAAGTGACCTGGCAGGGGTCTGGGATCACCTGCTAGAGCAGATTGGAGAGTGACCAGGCAAGCAGAGCGCTAAAAATGCAGGTGCTGCCTTGCAGAGTTTCGAAGACCCTTTGTTGCATGCCAGATGAGGAGAACCACACTGGGATGCTGTGACTGCACTGGTCCCTGAAGCAGAAGCAGCATCAGTCAGTGAAACATTGCTTGAGAAGACTAGGCTATTCATGGTTAGACTAGGCTGAGGATGTTAACATACCTCCTGGCATGATTCTGGCCCTTGGATGTTAGCGGTTCCCCAGGCAATGCCCACATGGGTTCCAGCGATAGCTTCTAACAGGACCATGCCCAGCAGGCAGTACGATTACCTTTACAGCAGGTTTCCTATGCCCTACACCGCCCGCTAGGTATCAGGCTTGGAACCCTCAAGCCATTTCACACATCCTTGTGCCAGGTCACGGATCGTGCAAGACAGGATTTTTTTGCTGGGGAGGAATTTGCTGTGATGCACAACAACAGAGCCTACATGTTATTTTGGAAACTTTGAACAGAGCTCACTCCCTCCCCCTGCCTTGCAAGGAAAGCATGACACAGAAAAGCATGATATGTTTACACAGAAAAGCATGATATGTTTAAACCTAAAGCACTGTGCCCCTTCTTCACGCTCAGAGCTTGAAGCCCCCCTGTGTCAGCAAGAGAAATGGGGTCTCATGCCTCGCCACCTGGGAGGGCATGGGGATTCCTGGCCCCACACGTGTGCCAGCATGTCACAGGGCCGAGACTTCACGTAAATACCAGTTTACCAGCACAGAGTGGGTAAATTAGACGAGCAGTATTTAGCAGCGGGTGTAAGTTTGTTGTATCGGAGTTCATCAACAAAAGCAGGATTTGAGGGACTTAAATTCTTTGCATTCCCATTTATCATGGGTTTTGATTTACTGTGATGCCAGGATATGACTTCCACAGTGGGCTTGTAAGTCATTCAGTCTCTGTTCTTTTAATGTAGTCTGGTTTTATCAGTCTTAGTCTGTATCTTTTCAGTTGCTTTCTGGTCTTGAGTTTTGAAAATGTAATGCACTGACCTGGATCCTTTTTGCATAAAGGCAGCATTACTTTATCCAGAGTGATTTTGACCTATTCGTTCATACAGTGACCAGCTTAGGGCAATGTGTAGTCCGTCTTCCTAACGTACATCTATTTTCCCAAAGGCCTCATTAATTAGTTCATTGTTGCTAAAAGTTAATTATTTATCTTGTACTGCCACTTTCCTGGCAAAATCCTTAGAATGCCAAAAATAGCTGTGGAGCTACAGTAATTTTTAATGCTATGTTTAAGAGTGAATTACTGCTCCACAAATACCACATGACGACAAGGCTGTCCCCTCCGCTTCCTTAGCTCCCCTCTGAGCAGCACGCTCCCGACTCTTGTCTGTTTTTGCGGTGACTTGTTTTTTCCCCTGATCATCTGTGAAACCTGGTTACGCTCTTTAAAGTGTTGGTTGCAGTCTGTCCACTCAAGAGAGAATAATGTCTTGCAGAAAGCCCTGTTCTGGTTTTATCCTCTATTATGCTCAGTCAGTGTTGGAAAGAGGAGCAGCGCCTGCATCCATATTTCTGGGCGTGCTTTTTCTAACAGTACAGCAGAGAGCTAATAGGGTTGGCTGGAGGATACTAATGGCTGGCTGAGGCTGTTTTCTGAGGCTTCAATACTTCTTTTCATTCTGCACTAGATAACAAGGAAAGCCTTTCCAGTCTTGTCAAGATGCCTGTTTTTCACAGTAAAACAACAGCTTTTTATCTGGGTGGCTGGGGATCCTTCTCTGACAAAGTTTCTTCTCTTCTGCTTTTGCTGTTGAGAGTGTGGTTGGGTTTTGCTTTCCTTTTATTTTTATTCTTTCCCTCCTCCCCATGGTAGATGCTTGGGAATCAGGCGGAGAGCTGGGGCTCAAAGTTGATGTCCCATCCCTCAGGCATTTGCCTTGTGTACCAGTTACAGAGCATACATGCATTTTGATTCTACCTGGAAACAAGCCAAGCGAAGCGTCTTCACAACATTTGGCAAAAAGTCACTTGTTTGGGAACAAACTGAGCAGCCTTTGTGGCAGAAGCTGATGCAGAAGCTTTGGAAAAGTCACATCTTCATCCTCTGCCAAGCAGAGGGGCAAACCTAGCCATGCCTACCACTCAATTAAAGTACAATGAGCAGGCTGCAATGAATCGCCAGGCATAATTTCACCCATGCTGGAAGTTTCTCAGTGCTACTCTTATGGTAAAAAGTTATGCCGTTTCCTACCTGGCTCAACAAAGAGAGCTTAAACGTAGACCACAGCAATATAAAGCAGCCCAGTTAAAAAGCCAAGTGCCTGGATTGAAGCAAAATAAAGGCTATTAGTCTGAATAAATTTCTGTGATTTACCAATCGCATACATGTCTCAACCCGAATGCTTTCCATGTCATCAGTTGTTTATTTCAAGGCTTGCAGATACTCTTATTTCAACCTGGCCAGTTAAAAAGCTTTACAGTCAGTTCTCAGGACCTAGCAGTCTGCAGGGGGATAAAATTCCACACAAACTGTTTTCCGGAGGCTTGTGGAGGTCTGGGAGGAAGGGCTGTTTCACAAAAGGATATAAAAGCCATGGCTTGGGTTTTTTTGTTTGTTTGTTTTTAAGCATTGGTGTGTTGATCTCTCTTGGGTAGGTTATGCACGTTTTGCCATGTGGAAGGCTTCAGAAATGGTCAAATACTGTATTTGTGTTTAAAAAGCTATAACAACAGGACAAAGAATTCTTGGAGCTTGTTACTGCATAGATATGATGCGATGTAAGAAAGCCGAGCAGATTAGGTGAACCTAGAAGACTACTTGAAGAGTCACAGAAGAAGAGACTAGGTCAGATCAAAACATCCATTCTGCAGAAAGCACCAACGTAGCAATGGGGTTTTCCTGTTTGGAAATTGAAACATTCAGGTTTTCTTTCAAGTGGAAACTTTAAGAAACTGAGATGAAGCGGCATTAAAGTTTGTGTTTCAAGTTGTTCATGTCTGAATACAGCCAACTAACTGTATTTCAAAGAGATGCTGAAGCTGAGCATACCTCAAATATTGCACAAGTACTATAAAACAGATTGAAAATACCTCTTTGTTACCAACTAGAGATCACTTAATACTGTGAATAGGAATTTAAGATGTCCTGATTATTACTTTCTGAAGTTGGGAAGTTGCTACAAATAATATAGATTCGGGTCTGTTGAATTGCACATAGCAATCTGGCTGATCAGCTAAAATACGTGGGTATCGGAAACCTGAAATTTGGTGTCCATATTTCCCACTCTTCCAGGACATCTTTGGAAGTCTTGTGCAGGAGATTCTAATTATTTGAGAAACTTCACAAGAACAAGTACTTACACACACTTTCCATGCTTTGTTTATAGTAAAGATAGGAATTATTTCTGGAAGAGCGATTACAGCAGTATTCTCTAGTGTTTATTCAGTTTGGGGAAGGTTGTGTTTCTAAGATTTGGCTTAAAAAAAATGGCAATTCTTATTTTGTCTGTATGACTTGGCTTTTCTCTTCAGTGGATTTGCTTTGACATACAGTTGTTTCTCTTAACAGTGAGAGACTGTAGGTAGCTGAGAACACCGTAGTAGCAGCTCAGTTTTAGGAGACTTTTCAGAATATTTTTTCCTCAAGTGACAGCTAAATACCAGCCTTTCAGATGATAAATTCAGGACGTCATTCCCTCTTTCATGAGGCAGATGGATATAACACACCCTGCTTGCAGAGGAACTGGTCTCTGGCCATCATGTCCCATCTGGGGAGGCTCATTTTAGAATTGCCTTGGTTTCCTCCCAAGTGGCTTTTTTCTGAGTAGGAGATTGTATTTGTCCTATTTTGAATTCCCTAAAATAGCAAAAATATGCAGTGCTATAAGTGAAAGTTGTTTTGCTTACAACAGCCTCATTCTTTTACCCTTATTAACACTACACCAAAAAAACCAACCCAACACCCCATACCACCACCACCAAAAAACAGAGCATAAGAAAGCATTATAGCCAAACAGACCTAAATGGAGTTAATGAGGGCAGACAGTGAAAAGAAAAAAAAAAATTAAAAAAAAAATCCCATACAAAAAGGTCAGCGGAGGGGTAATTCTGCTGTCAGGCTGCCCACAGACATAAATATTTCACAACCCAAGTGAAGATGTTTCCTGGGTTTCATCACCCGCTGCGTCCAGACAACTCTTGTTCCCTAGTAAGTCGCTATACTTTCTGCTCACAGAAACGTGCCTGGCAGTACCCACCGGTCTGCACCAGATATATGAGAGAGCACGGGTATGCTTTCCAAGCTTTCCATGACTTAGTGCTACCTGTTTTCACTGCGAAGGACAGGGACAGCTGGTGCTTTGTTCGTTTTCCCATCGTGTTTTCCCCCAGCGTGTTTTGCTGGGGAAAACATCCTCCTTGTCCCACTTTCCATTCTGGAGAAGAGCTGGGAGAAGGAGTCGCAGAGGAGGAAGGACGGGAAGGTGCGCAGATGAATTCCAGTCTCCTGGGGCATGGCTGGGGTTTTTGTCTGGAATGATGAAATAAATCCTGTTTGCCACCAACAGGATGAAGGTAGCAGCATAGGAAACATCTTGGAGCTTGTCCTGCCCACCTAAAGTAGAGGTGTAGAAGTACTGGCTACTGAAAGCAAGACCCTTTCTTTGCAAACAGAGAGGCCTTTACGCTTTGTGATTAACACAATTTCTATCTTGTGCATCATATTTGCCTTTTTCTCTCCTCATCTGTGCTTGTATTTCGTTATGACATAATTTTCCAGTCCTTCATTCTCCTTTTCATTCCAACAATAGGGTTTTGTGTATAAGCAGCAAATAAAATGGCTGGCAGCTGAAAGGGAGGAAAAAAATAACACTTCTCTGATAAATGAATAGTTGCCTTGCTGTTTCAATTTCTCGTTTACTTCATGGTGAGAATTATTTATGTGCTCAATTCCAAAATATTTTCCTTTGTAAAATACTTTGGCTGTCTGCAGGTTTATTAGATAAGGAGATGGAAACCTTTCTCGTACTCTTCTACATGAAAAGTAAGGATGCCATATATATTTCATTATTTTTTTCAAACACACATAAAGATAGTGTCATAAATTGGGTCTCAAACATTACAATGGCATTTTGAAATATCAAACTCTCTATATATTCAATAAATAACCTTATTTATGTATTACCATCCAGGGAAGTTGGTTTGCTTTTCTAGTTTATAAATCCATTTAGGGTTTTGTATATTCCTTATCTCACTGTCATATTCTGAATTCTGCAGTGTGTGGTTTCCAGAATGAAAAAAAAATGTTTGGTTTAGTAGTAGGTATGTAGTAAGTTCTTTTAAAAAATCATGTAATCTTGTCTTCAGGTCAATTTTTCTTAAAATCTGCAATATTGTTTGAACAGGTGTTGATGTTCTTAGTTTAGTGAAAACAAAGACTGGTGTAATAACTTTCCTGATTCATGTGCTACTGTATTAGAAGGAAATGGAGAATGCCTTTTTGTTTTTTTCTTTTTTTTTTTTTTTTTTTTTTCAGTAAATCATTCTTCTTATATGCAGATAGATTAGTACTAATTCTGAAAATTTGTCATGCCATATTCCGTGTCTCTTGTTTGGAAATACCTTCTCTTTTTTTTTTTTTTGTTTTCCTCCTACTGTTTAAATATGCAGTAAGGCTTTGCACTCAGCTTCCAATTTCCACATTCAAAAAGGGACATTATAATCATCCAGTTACTTTAAGGTACCTTATTGAATTTTCGGGTGATGCGCGCAAGTGACTCTCAAGCCACGCTTATGTTGGGGCAGAGGGCGAGGCTATGGGGTGTGCTGTGAGCGGTAGCCCCGATGGCCACGGCCAGTTTACAAGCTGGCTGACGGTGCCGTGCAGCACGAGCAGTGCTGCCACGTGCCTGCTGTTCCAGCCTTTACCTGAAGGCAGGAACAGCTCTTAAGCCAATCTTTCTAAATTTCTACCGTACATGTTATGGGAGGATGTACAGATTTCATCTTGATGTGTGTGCAGATCTCCTCCAGGTTTCTGCGGACGGCTGGCCGCTGTTTAAATGGATAGGAAAGCGAAGGGCAGAATAACCAGTGAGCTGGCCGAAGGCACGCTGCCGCACGTCCCCAGGGAGCGCTCCAAATGTTGACAGGGCAAAGGCAAGGAGCCTTTTTAACCCCTCTCTTCAGCCTGTTGTCTCTAGGAGCTGTAATCAGAGCTGTAGCATGATTTTGATTAATTTTAGGGTGGGAAGGCAATCTTTGGGGAGGGCGAGACAAAAAAAAAAAATCTAGTTACAACTATACAGTTGTCTTGTATAAAGTACTGTAAGCTGGACTGATTTTTAAATCTTGGTGATTGAAATCACCAGGCAGGAAGCTTTGATTTACATCTTCCAATGCAATTCTGTTTTCTCCTCCTTCCATTAGTTTACTTCAAAGCAAATGTTTGTTGTTGTGGTTGTACTGTGATAACTGCAGGTTTTCCTTCAGCGGTCATAAAACAAAATTCAAATGTAAATTGGTATCTTGTGTAATATAAACTACCTGGGTTTTAAAACACCTTTTTCAGTAGTGTACTTCCCTCTTACCCTCTAGGTAATGTCTTTTGGTAGCTACTGCTGAGCAGGATCACTTGCCTTCCTCCCAAGGTGAAATAGTTTGTAAGCCAGCGCCTGCCCTTCTGCTGGTAGTGAATGGCTTTGAACGGGGTGTTGGCGAGCTGGGTAGTTTATCCCCAACCAAGGAGAAAACTCTGTTGTGTAGTGCGTAGCATGACATTTCCATAACTGTTGTTTTCAGGCTTTCTCAAAAATGTGGTCCCAAAGGAATTTCTGTTGCTTAAGGAGAAAAAGGGAGGAAACCCGCCCCCCCCCCCCCCCTTTTTCCTTTTTTCCCCCACCAGTTTGAATACTATTCCTCCTTGGAGCCTTACAAAATAATGAGGGGGCTAAACATCCCTCTCCCTTTTGAGAGGTCCCTGGGGGGGACGTGTTGTGAGTGCAGGGCAAGCTGGATGGAGTGAGCACCGATCACTGGGAGCGGGGCCCTGCAGGCATCTCCTGCGGTGCCTGGGGCAAGCGGTGCTGGGCTCAGATATTTGGGTTTAGGCACAGATCGTTCTACTTAACGACTTCTTGTGTGTCAGGTGTGAGTCTGTGCTGTTAAAGATACCTTAAATTTAAGAAGCTATCATCTGTAGTGAGCAAAGGAAGCAAGAGGGAACACAGGTGAAGCCTGGGGAACACAGGTGAAGCCTGTTTCGTTGTGTTTTAGGAAGATGTGCGACTTGTACAGCAGGGAAGGTCCTATGGTTGTTCACCAAAGGGCAGTTTTGTGACTGTTCCTCCCCACTTTTCCTCACTGTGCTTTTCTACTCCCCCACCCCACCCCATCCCCCCCGCCCCCAGGGGCAACCACACTGCTCAGCAAGACTGGAGGCAGCAACACAGTAGCCACAATTCATGCTTTTTTCTGGTTTCTTTGTTTTCTAGGATCCTAGAGGATTTCCATTCACCTACCAGATCATTACAGCCCAGCAGCCTGAAGTCAACATTACAAGCAGTAACTTGACTGGCTGGAAAGAAACAGCAACAAAATGGAAATACGTCACACCTCTAGACCCTGAGTTGATAATGGAAAAGACTAGCACAATGTTTGTTATCCGGTCTAGACGCTTAATCATAAAAAACTGGGACCAGAGGGACCATTTAGTCTGCTCCTTTTTCTGCCACGCAAAATGTGCTCGTGCCACTCTTGGTACTGCTAGTGTGCAAAATATATTTGCCTTCTTCCAGAGGAGTTTTGGAAACATCCAGAGATGGAGGCTCTGCGAGCTCTCCGGGGATCCTCTTCCAGTGCCTAATTGCTCCTCAGTAAAGAAGGGTTTAATTTTTACCGATATCTGCCTGCAATTTCACTTGCAGCAGCTCTCCGTTCATCACCCTTTTCCTGGCAGCTGGTTTTCCTTCTCTTATCCAGCTGATCTGACTCCTTTTCCTCGGTGACTGCGTGAATGTGCCAACACATCTGTTGCTTAACTCGCTCCGCAGAGACCTGCTGGACTCAAAACCACAGGACTCAAGCCACACCAAATCTGCTAAAATTACTGGGGAAGAGCAATAGGGCTCCAAGCAGATGACAGATTAGGGGCAGTAGCGGCCACAGCTGGGAAAGAAGAGTTACAAGTACTTTATTTTATTCGGCTTTTCTTTCTAATTGGGGGGTGTGTGTGTGTGTGTGTGTTAATATATAAGTGAGGAGGAGGCATCCCCATCTTTCCTTTCTGTTTTGCTGTGGTTCTCTCTCTGTTTTTTCCCGAAGCAACTCTGTTAATACCCCGGCCTTTCTCTTTCTTGGCTGTCAAAACGCATAGACTAGGTTTGTTGACAGTTCATATGGTCATCTTTTGCACTGTTTGGAATAGTCTCCCCGACTTCATCCTTTCTTGTTCTGTCTTTTTAAACACACTCAAGTTGCTCTGCTGGCCAAAAGCTATTATTTCCATACTTGGGCCTTGGTGCAGGGGCTGTTGTGCCCTGAACTAAGTATTGTGTGTCATTGCTGTCAGTGTAATGGTATCGGTGGGGAATTTTACAGATGCAAAATTTACTACTTTGTCATGGGTTTGGTAGCAGAGAAAGACACTGCGCTCCTCCTATGAGCTGCGACCTAACTCTGCTCCTGCCCCGGGTGGGATTGGAGCCCCTATCTCCCCCACCACCCCCGGCTGCTGCTCGCTGCCTGCCCAAGCTTGCCAAGATCTGGCCATCTCCAGGCTTAATGCTGGGGTTGCCTGTCCCCCCTGTTGGCTGCATGGCCGCAGGCTGCTGGTGAGAGCAGAGCGCTCCTGGGCATGGCCTGGCAGCTCACCGTATTTGTGAGGGGTGGGAGCCGTGGCATGCCCTCTGCCTCCCGGCACCTCGCCAGGGCTCGGGGCCTGCTTCACAGAGCAAAGGTTGCTAAAAGAAATCCCTACCTCTGGGCGTACAGACTTTGTGGCCCATTTTACTGACAGAATAGATAGATGGAAGGACTGCAGGGGGTCCTCGGGTGAGTTTTGTTCTGCTGCTGATGAGTGCTGATGTTTAAGGTGTTTCTCAGTCTTCCTTCCGTCTCAATAATTGTCATCGTATCAGGATCCCTACCAGTATCTGCTTGTCTCTTTGGTTCGATTAGCATTTGTTTGTGCGTCTGAAATATTCCGTCTGACTAAGTGTGTAGAGTTTTGGATTGTCATATGTTTGCCAAGAGTACGAACTGCCAACCTAAAAAGTCAACAGAGAAGATTTAGCAGATGCAAGACTTACGACTAAGTGTTCAGAACCAATGTTTTGTTGGTTCCAGAGCGGCAGCCTCGCTAGAGTCTGGCATGAAGGGGTGCGTGCGTGTGTGTGTGTGTGTGTGTGTGTGTGGGTCTGCATGTATTACTGAGGACGTGAGGGGTGACATTCGCTGTTACTACTATAGGTACAATACGAATTATTTATTTACATATTCCATTTTTTTTCTAGTTAAAAAAAAAGAACAAACAACTGATCCAGCGAAAACACCAACTGGTCCATTTTTTTTTTTCCTGCTTGTTTTGGATACCAGAAATGCTTCATTGCATGTTGGGCTTTTTTGTAGTTTTGTTTTACTTTGCTTCCTTTCTGTACAGAAAGTGGGACTTCAGGGGATTTTTAAGCTGTTTTGGTTTTGGGGTGTTTTTTTGGGTTTTGGTTTTTTTGGGTTTTTTTAATTTTGAGCAAAACAACTTTTGAGATAAATTTACAGAAGTATTTTTGATCACAGCAGATGCGGTTTGCCTCGGATTTGAAAATAACTTCAGTTCATCAGGAAATTGTATTTTATATTTTTAGAGGTATTGTGTGCATGTGTGTCATGTTCGTTGCTTAATTATTTTTTATCTGAAGTTCCATGCTCTACTGATGTATTGACTGTCCTGTTTTCTGTATTTGCCTTTGCTGAAAAGAAGCCAAATAAAGCAACTTTGAACATAAGGCTGCACAATTCCTTTCATTGGTAGCACACTGCTTGTGACCTTTTATAAATCAGTGCGAGAAGCATCATGCATGAGCTCTAAGTGCAGTAGTGACCTGGTATGTTCTTTAAGATGCAGCCTTTTGAGGTGAATTGTGAAACCACAGTAATTTTTGTTTGTCATGGCATCAGCTTGCACTTTTCTTCCTAAAAGACATGATAGTGGGAAAGTTGGATCTAGTTAAAAGGGCATGGCAATGCTGCCATTTCCCTAAAGGAGCTGAGTGTCATAGGATTATGTCCTAGGTCTTGCAATACCAGTGAAAGGCAGCAGTTTATTGCTTGTCTGAGCTCTACCGGTTGGTAGAATAGAATAGAATAAGCAGTGATTTCCAGAGGTTTTGAGATTGCAACATAAACTCCCACTCTTGATTTTTCAGGGAAACTAATGGTTGCTATTTATGGTTTCTGTAGAACTTCCTACTAGATGCTGTCCAGAAGTGCAAGTCTCGTTGCTGATGTACCTCGCCCTGCGCGATGGGAGTTAGCGGTTTCTTCTCCTGGGAATGTGGTGCTCTGAGATCAGCCAGGTCACCTCTCCATGCACAAAGGGAAGGTAAGGAGCCATCAGCTCCACTGCCCCGAGCAAGGTGTGGGGCAAGCTGTGGTTTTCCCATGCCGAAGAGCAGAAGTGCTGCTTGCCAGGGGCTTCTGGCAGAGCCAACTGTTGCTTGGCCCACCAGTTGCAAGGTGGGTTGTGCTGGCAGGGCAGGGCAGGGCACTGAGGGCTGGTTCAGTCTGGAGCTGAGATACAGTAGCAGCATACTGAATGACCTTAGAGAAAGTAGATTGGGCCACCTTTACCTTCACAAAAGGTGAACAAATGCAGAATAGCAGGTTTCCTCAGGGAAACCTCAAGTTTGCTGTAAAAGGTTGCTTTTGTGGCTGACAGCCTGCTCTTCAGGACCCGTCAAGATGTTTGCTGTTGTTTTTGAGTCATAGTGAATAGTTTAGTTCCTACAGCTGTGTCCTCTCTTTGTGTGCTTTTGTCCCTCGCATGCTCAAGGATGCTGATATTCTTAGTCTTGAATTGTGCTGACACAAGGTGAAGGTGAAGTGTCTGCTAGAGACAACAACTTCCATGCATGGCTGTGGTGATGGAAAGGGAGGGTCTTCAAAACCCCAGCAGGCAGGCCTGGGTTTCTAGGAAAGAGGGATTTTGCAGGGTGAGGGACAGAGGAAAAAAAAAAAAATGAAATCACTTCTGATGGAGTATGAGGATGACTTTCTTTTTGTCTTGGATATTTTCTCATCACCTCGCCACACTGACCACCCAGCCTGAGGTCAGGGCAGCTGCTCCAGCTGCCTCTGAAGAAATGGTGAATGCATGCTTGGGTTTTTTCCTGTATGCTTTCCTCATCCTTCACTGATACGTGAATTTTGCCCCTGAACAACATATTTCTAGTTTCCAAGTCTGAGTAGACTTTCTGGATGCTTCTGGGTGACTTTTTCCCTGTCGTGGCATCCCATGTGCCTGCCTGCTTCAGTCCTGTGCCGCCTGGCTGCTGCCCTGCTACCTAAAATGCTGCTTGCTTTGAAAGTGTGGTGGCAGCTGTTCTCAAAGTCTGCTGCATAACAAGATGCCAAGGAAGGAAGTGCAGCATAATTTTAGAAGCTAAGAGGATGTGGGGGGGTGGGAGAGTCTGGATTTTTTTTTTTTTCCCTTAAGATGGGCTGAAGTTAGCAGCAGAATCAGCACTGGACAAGAATTTGCATGTAGATGACCAGTATTTATCACCTGGAAAGATTTAAAGAGCTTTCAGCCTGAAGTTGAAAGCACTTAAATGTGTTTTTCTGAGACGGTGTGCAGTGAGCAATGTTCACTTTCTAGACATAGGTATCACCCGCTGCCTCCTCTCAGGGACCTTGTGCCATTTTTCATTCTGAATGGAGTGTTTCTATTTCCATGGCCCTAATCTCATGACATCCAGCTGGAAACCTCCACAGCCTTCTGCAGGCCCGTTTCTGTACAGTCAGCTGCTTAATGATGCACTGATCGTTCTGTGTGCCAGGAGAAACTCGCTTCATGGTGTTCCCGGAAGGTCCAAAAGCTCACCAGCACTGGCTCTGGGGTGGCAAGGATGCCTTCTGACACTCAGCAGCTTTCATGCATTATCTTAAAAAAAAAAAAAAAAAATCTGCCTGGACAGGGTCTGAGCAGGCTGTCTGCCCTGTCTTAGTAGGAAATCGTGTGGGTAGCAAGTTTTTTAGTCAGCCCCCCCCCAATTGCTGAAGCCCTCACGCTTCCATGTGCTGAAAGGATCTGTATCTCCACCAGGGACCAAGGGTCCTTCTGCCATGGGATAAGTAGGGATAGCTTGAAGGAGATGGGAACAACAGGAGCTCAGTGCCTTGAGTCATTCTGCCTGCAAGAGAAAAGCGTGGCCGCCTGAGCGGTAACTGAGCAGTAAAGAATAAGATTGCAGCCCTGGCCTTGCTAATCTGGGTTTCCTTAAGGAAACGGAGGAGGTGGATTTCCTTACTAGCTGCAGCCTAATAAATCACTTCAGGAAAACAATGTAGCTGAGTGTAGAGGGCTGACAAAAGGAAGTGGGGTGTTTGCTGCTTGGTCGCTCCTTGGCAGATGAAGGCACATATCAGGCAGATTGCCTGTTCTGGCAGTGGAACGTTAAC